TAAGCAGCTTTGTGAATAGGTTTTAAGAGAAAACTCTTAGCTAAAAACGTTTACTGCTATTTAGGAGAACTCTTAGTGGTAAGATACAATGTTTTGTGAATACGGGCCCAGGTGTGTTTAATTAGAGTTGAATCTAAACTCTGCAGTGCTCTGGCCCTCCAGGAATTGAGTTTGACACCCCTGATCTAAAGCAACTTACTGATGACAACAATACAAGCTAAAGCAGTTAATCCAAGGGAGACCACAATGAAATAGTGCTACCATACAAAATGTCTGTAACTACCAGTGTAGTGCAATGCTGAAAGGTATGTGTATTATAATAATAATAAATGATAACAATATGCTTAATGTGTAATTATTTTGTGGCACTGCTTATAATTACACATTATATTTGTTGTTATAACTACTGTGCATAATAGTAACAGGGGCATTGTGCAACCTATATCAACCAGCAAAGGTCACTGCTCAGTTCCCCAGTTTGACAGAAGAGTCTGTGGGTTCTTTGGGTTAATTGGCAGTCACTAGTTTATCTGATAAACTATTTTCCAGTGGCTGTCGTGCAGGTGCAGTTGGAAGGTGCAATTAAAGTTATTTTTGTAACACTGCAATCTCTCTGCAGGATATCGAGGATCACGTCGCCTTTGTAATCACTGTCCCCACTGCGCTGGCTATTTTCCTCACTATCTTTGTTCTGGTCTGCATCGAGTCCATCTTCAAGAAGCTGCTCCAAGTTTTCTCCTTGGTGATCTGGGCCTGCCTGGTTGCCATGGGTTACCTCTTTATGTTTTTTGGAGGAATCATCTGTCCCTGGGATCAGGTAAGATGAGTGCATTATCGGCCACCTAAGGTTGTTTTCAGTCATAGGCCTTTTACCTGATACATCTCAGATAGTGTATTCTTGAGAATCAGTGGGAACACGTAACATGAGAGTGACTTGAAGGAGAAATAACACAATACTTTAGTCAAAAAGGAAGGTGTATGCATACTGATGTATGGGACAGCCTCTAGTGAACAAATTGAATTGTGGATCAGAGTCACCTTTACTAGGCAATTTAGCATTTGTCAAGTCAGCTGCTTTCCTGTGATGCACAGAAATGATTTTAAGAGATAGCTCCATACCAGAATTAAGTGAGAAGGCCAGAGAATTCTTATACGAAAATAAAAGAATTCCAGAAAAATGAGAACAGAAAAAAAAAAGAATGATTTATTTATTAAATTTCACATCAGGGATACTGTTTCACCCCAATACCAGTTCTCATGGAAGACTCTGAAACTGTGATCAGTAATACTGGCAAGTCAGTAATAAGTGGCAAGAAATGGCAAGTCAAGCTTTTATTTATTTAATTTTTTATTTTTAACTGAATCTATTCTGCTTTGTTTTATAAGTTCATCTTTGTAAGTAGCTTTTCCAAGCAATTATAACCCATCAGATGTAACCCAACCTGTCCAAACGCATGATAAAATTGAACCCTGTTCAGTGTATTATTATGTCAGGCGTAAAGATGTAACTAAAAATTTTACTTGACGAAAGCATTTTACAGTCTTCTACTATAAGATTCAAATTATCCTGCATTCTTTCCCCTCTATCATGTTGATTATATAAAGTATATGTGTGCTATTCCCATGGCAGCTGAGCCACCCCATGTTTGACCTGCAAGTCCAGTGAGGATAATTACATTCAACATTAATCAAAATGCTGCAAATGTGTGACTAGACCTGGGAATTAAGATAGTAATCAGAAGTCTGGCCTAGCTATTCTGCACATTCCTATTACAGATGAATAATTTACTCTTCAAGGAAAGAAAATAAATAAATAAGTAAATAAATAAATAAACAAACATCTGCCATTAGTTGGGTAAACTGTAATAAAAATCTTTAAATGGAGAATATAAGGAGCTAATGATTTGCTGTGGTAAAATAAGACTCAGTGTTTGTCGCTGACACATTGTATCTCTGGAATAGGTGACATATGGCGAAAGACAAACAAGGCTAATGTCAGACGTGTAAAGCGGGATGACTTCCTGTGTTAGTCAATATCTCTGCTTGGTTCCAGATTAAGGGCAGATAGAGAAGTTCTCAATACATAGACCCCATCTGAATCCTCTATACAGCAAATGCTCCACTTCTTTCACAAAATATTTCAGCAAAATCGTGTCATATTCACTAACCACTTTAGCTATCACTGATGTAGTGCTGTGAGTATGGAAAATTCTTTATGCAATTTAGGCTTATTATAGAATCCCGTATAAGCCCTAAGGACTGTTCACACTAATGTTCACACACTAGTGAAGTCCACACTACATCTATAATGATAACTTGTATCTTTTTGTTTTGTTTTTTAAGAATGATTTTATTCCCAGCTGATGAATGATTAAAAACATTGACAGCCAATCAGAATCCACCTGGCATTAAAGCGCTTGAGTATTTAAAGTGGAAGATGACATAACACACAATAAACAAAATGTTATCCTTCTTTGGTGTGGACACTAATATAGTTAAATTATAGTTATCTTTTTAATTTATCCTTCTTGGTGTGAATTGCCCTTTACAGTATCCCCTAGCCAGATGTGGCAGCCACATGCAGAAAAAGGTATCTCCTATGCCAGGGGTTTTCAAACCTGTTCTAGAGGACCCCCAGCACTGCACATTTTGTATGTTTCTCATCTAACACACCTGATTCAACCCATCAGCTCATTAGTAGAGACTGCAAGCAAAGCCACTAGAAGGCAAGCCTGAAACCTTTAGCCAAAAAATGCTAACGCTTCCACTTTGACAGTACATGGGAAAGGAGACCAGAGGCCGTTTTTTGAATGGATGTCAATGGAGGAGAGGCTTCACTATGCTGAATAAACAGCTTTTTAGAGGAAACGGCTTATCATTTAATGAATTGACAGCCTATCTGCTAATCTTCAACATGTTTTAGACTAAACAATACTTTTGGATTGAACTATTTTTAGAGTTACCATGAAAAAATGCTGTTTTATAAGAGAAGTCACTGACTTTTTTGCGACAGGTGGGATTCAGCTTACGGCACTTCCCATTCATTCCTATGGTATCCGTAAACGGCGACTGAGTGCCGTACAAATCTGACTGAAATTCAATGATGACAAGGCTGTAATGTGATTGGTTATTAAGGCACACGTGATCCAAGTTAGCCGTTACGCTTTCTCCAATAGTAAGTATACAGACCCTCTCATCTCCCTATAGTAAGATAATCTCTGCTGCAAGACCTGAATTTGGTGTGTCTGATAAGGAAGACATACAAAATATGCAGTGCTTTGTATGTGTGTCTCCGCTAAACTTCAGATACTTCAGAGAGCAAGCATTTCCATGCCCATGTGCGCCAAACAGACAGAATGCAATAAAACAGGAGTGCAATTCTGAATAAAATATGCATTTTGCGAATATTTTTTTTTTGTTGGACAATAAATGAAACGTATGTAGAATTTTAAACCTATAAGTAAATGTATTTTTTTATGATAGCAGTAACTGTAAAATGACTATTGTAATGTGCTATTCAAAAGAGCCTAATACAGTTAGTCTGAGCTTTTGTTTTTCTTTATTTGCATTTTTGTTTAGTTAATTTAACTTCTGCTTAAAAAGCATTATTTTTGCTCTTAGATTGTAATGTTGCAATGTTACAATGTAATGTGATTTTACCATTTTTTGCACATAATCTATACTGTAGCCTTCATGGTTACATTCACTATATTTGACTTCATAGATTCTGACATTGTTTCAATAGACAACATTAGGCAGGATGTGAAATGACATTTCAGTTTGATTTGTGGCCACACACACACACATGGCCTCTAAAACAAAAGCATTTAACAATGTGTTTTTGCACACCTCTGTGTTTATTGCCCTGTACATGGAGGTGAGCAATGTGATTTCAGCTTTCATCTCACATAGCTCTGAAGTTACTCAGATGTCAAAGGTGATTTTAACGCTTCAGTGGGCAGCTCTCTTAAAGACTAAACTTATTCTCAGCCACATACTGCTGCAATTGCTCTGTGGCCCCCTTAACCCTTCCACCATTAAAAGTTCTGCTCTCTGGGATGATCTGCAGTGGTACAGTGACCTGTACACAGTTAAATGGGCACACATTTTCTGGGATCGCTTGGCACCAAAGGCAAATGCCAGTGATAGTGGAAAGCATGCATCCAGACATCTTTTTAGGCTCTTCCCAGGTGTCAGGCCACAGCAGTGCACACATTTTTGGTAATTACAACTGAAGTTGCATCTGAAATGCCAAGAGGAATAATGGACCTATTAGAGCACTTTCTTCTTTCTGTAAGCTCCCTTCATCTCAAGTCAGATGTGTGAAGACAGGTCACTGAAAGGTCTCCCCTCTCACACAATTAAAATATCTGTGCCACTAATGTTTGGTAACCGTGGTGTTAATGTTGCAGAGGGCATTTCGTTTCCCTGAGAAACAAGATGAGACAAGCCCAACGGCAGGTAATTAATTAGGCTCTTTTGTATGTAGGTAACAATGAAAAACAATAAATTAAGCAATGATTAAAAAGGTTGCTTCTGAATGTGCATTCCACTTAATTTAGATTACAAAGCTCATTAAGATGCTTGGATGCTCTTCTATCTCTATCTGTTTGAAAACATCTAGGCCATTGTTGTTAGCCTATGGTACTGTTAAAGCTGAGATGCATAGTAATTTCCCAACGACATTACTTAACAAAGATGTTGCTTTAAAGATCAATGAAATGCCTTGATGAGCACAGTTTTCTTTCATGTATTTACATATTTCATATTGAAACAGGAATTTACTTCAAAAGCTTTTTAACCTGTTAACCTGCACCCTCATTTTGGGACTGACATCTGAAAATGACCTACTTAACTTAAAATTGTAACAGTTCCTGACTTCAGTGTGCTACACACACAATTTTGGTGTCTTTGGAAAGAAGAGCCTTTGGGGTTTACTATCCATCATCCAGAGTTGATAATGCTCAAAAAGATAAAAAGTTATAGACACTGAAGTGCCTTAAAAAAAATTGTACCACACTGATTTTTTTATATTTCATATAAAAATACATTAAATCAGTCCTGGAGCAATCCAGAAAAGTAATGAGTTGAAAGTCACATGTCTCATGAGTTTATATTTCAAATCTGAAGAAGATACCATGAAAAATGAGATTCCTGCAACCATTTTTCTGAGACTATGTCTAGTTATAGTTATATATATGTCTAGTTATATATATTTCATATTCCATAACGGATACAAACAATAACTGTCCCCGAAGAAATGAGACGTAAACAAAGGAATTACCATCCATATTACAACGTTATTG